GTGCTCAGCCACCCTTTGTCAAATGGGACGACAAGTCTCTCCAACATAAAAGCGACCACATGAACACATTCTTTTTTAGCAACCAGTTCTGAATAATGAGTCAGCTTTCTCTTTAAAAGTGGGCATAATTTAATAGTGTCGTATTTTCCCTGAAGACCGTTTTTATTCCCCACTTCCTTACTTGTTCACCTCTCCTTTTGGAGAGAATGCACAAAGGTAAATACAAAATTAATTCTTGTAAAAGTATCGCATTAACAGTCGGTCAAGAGGACTGCTCGGCTCTATCTCGATCTTATATAGATTTGTGTAAAATTAGGGCAAGTTAGACCTTTCAAATGAATTTTGTTATATTCATATTGAGTAGGTTTTTGAAGCTGCCAGTAGGTCTTGAATAGGAGCTGTATTCACTCTAGGTCGCGTAAGGTGATGAAGGACTGATAGCGGGCTTTTCCCACAATGCTACAAGTAGGCCTTATTGAATTTCATATAGCCTTGCTTTCAAAGGGGCAGTCAACCCTGGATGAGAATACCACTAGGGAAGCAATGCTATGTAAAACTCAATGGAGACGTGAGGCTCACATATATCATTGGGGGAGAACTCAACTATCACTTCATCATATTTGAATTGTTAATAGTTGGATTTTAAAATCCATTTGCCATTAGATGACTTCACTTATATACTCGCATCGAGTTTGTTGGGATGGCTACTGAAGGGTCGTCAAAGGCTGATTGTCAATTGCGACCGAAACTGCGAGAGGTAAAATCTGAAAAAAATTGTTGATTTATTTGAAGTATTACATTTACTCTCAGTTGACATCTATTTATTCATGGTCTTAGAGATTGGCGTAATCTTAGAGGGAAATCTATCCAAAACGAGGAATATCGTGCTGATCTTACATGATTGAAAGAATGAATTCGTTAAAAGGCTAAAACATTTACCAATGTCGGTACTATCTTTGGCTTTCGGTGGACCTTATAGCCATCATGTATATACCTTTGTATACTTCACTACTTTCTTGTATATATTTTGCTGCGCATCTGTGTCAGCATATCACGGCGTCGCTGATTTATCTTTTGTTATTTAGACTCATTTAGGCCAGTTGCTCTCCTAACCATTAATTAGATCTTTAAGCAATCTTTGAATTATTTCGTATTATGTTATTCTAATCGTCACGTCCCTCATTTCCCATCAATTCTTCCACATGCCTAACTCAGGTTTGGTCAATTCGTTATCACCCGACTAGAGACCAGCTTCTCCTGTCGGCAGGAAGCGACTCACGCGTCTGTCTCTACGCCCTGCCTAGTTATTCTTCGGATGCCATCAAACACGTCTTTCCACCAGTTACAGGGCCCTCAATCACTGCGAGCACCACAAATGAGTCGGACTCTGTTGCAGCCAAATGCGAACCTCCTGACAATCATCAGAACGAACATCTCAAGTGAGTAGGACAATTTCTAAGAATCTAGTTTAGAATTTATATCATAACCTCTCACTTCCTGTTATTTATGAAAATTCTTTGCGCATTATATGGGGGTGCAGCAGGCCAACTAACTGCTCGGTGAGGGGTTTGGTGAAGCAAAACTGTGTAAATCAAAGGGATCTTGTTTGGCTCCCATTTTAGCGAATAATTACATGCCAACGGTGGAGGAACGCTTCAGTGAATTGTTAAGATCGACGCTAACACTTAATTAGATGATTTAGATGACTATTTTGCCACATGGTAGAATGGTAAGGATAGTTTACGTTTTATTTTCTATGCTGCGAGATAGCAAAGTATTTTTTCATATAATGAACTATTAATTTAGCAACTAAAATTGTCTTAAATTGAGCCGTGTAATTATTTGTTTAGATTTTAAGCTTTTCTTTGTCTCTCGATAAATCTCATTCTCATAATTATTCCAGGTTAACAACGAATCTAGAACAATAGCCGGCTCATTATTAAAGCAGAGTGTGCATGCTCGTATGTTATTTTGCATGAATACGCAAATAGCAAGTTATTAGAACTGAGTAAAACTTCTGTCCATGATTATATTTATCCTCTAGGCGTCAGTTTTATTAGGAATGCAATTTCAGATTCAGACTACTTTGCGCGAGATAGGACAGCTGAAGTCTTTTCTCATGTTGAATTTGCTTTGAGTTCTTATTTGTAAAAATATAGGCCAAATCATGAACACAAATTCTTGCATTATATATATATATATACACATATAAATATAATGCAAGCATTCATCACCTTAAATGAGATATACAGCTTGCCTTAGCCTGACTGACTATCTTGTTCATTTGTAACGCAACCAGGTCACATTTGAGTATGCGTACTCTTCATCCCATAAAACCCATTCCCTGATCTCCCATTCGAACCCCCTACTAAGCTTTCTTATCTTCCTTTTCCTTTTCTCCTCTTCATCCTATTCTCATTCTTACTTAATTATTTATCGTCTTTTTCAGGTTGCGGGATGGTGTCATCTCTCGGCTTGAGCAACATGAGGAGAGCGTCTATGCAGCTGACTGGAGTCCTGTCGACGCCTGGTTCTTCGCCTCGGTTTCCTATGATGGCAACCTAATCGTTAATCGCGTTCCCGATGAAGTGAAGCTCAATCTTCTGCTGTCCGATGATGATTGATAAGATCGATTTCTCTTCGTCCTCTGCCAATGGGAGCTTCTACCTTTCTCTCATATCGCTGACTTACTAGTCAGAATTTCCCCAACTTGACTACCTTCTATACTACCCCTACCAAATCTTCTTTTTGAGTTATCTGCTACTTTCCTCTGCATTGAATTTTAAACTACTGCTCTTGGAGCAATGTAACTCTTACGTTTTTTCTTAGCAACCACGGTTATTTTCCCATCATTTTTGATATTATTCTGTTTCTTAAATTTAACTTTTGCTCCACCATAGACTGTCTTGTATATATTTAAACAAATCCTATTTTCCAATTCCTACTTACTAATGTGGTACATTATATCTCGATGTTTTGTGTCCATTGAGACATGCATCCACTGAATTATCCTAGGTACCTCATTTCCATTTTATTTACTCTTATTCATCTGCATACTTCATTTCTATTTATTTAGCAAGCTCCTGTTTCTTTGGCTGTGCTTTTGATATCTCTTTTTTTGACAACTTGGGCCAAATCTCCTACCCATGTGAAGTAACCAGACAAAACATCATTGTGATATAGAAATCATGAAAATGTGGTGAGACTAATTAGATCGTTTTGGTATTTATATCTTTATTTTTGGGGAAGGTTGAGGGGATCTATAGATAGTCCAACCGGAAGTATACTTACATCAGAAGTATACGTCTACCTAATCCTTCTCCTCGCTGTACTCTCCTAAAACTTCTTTAAATTGTTAGTTCTTTAATTGTCTATCTCCAGTGAGAGACTTTTCTTAAATTGCCTTAGTCAAACCAAACCTCAAAAATCTTATCTCATTTAGGGCGGTTGGTATATCCTGTGTAAAATGTCTCGAAAATCTATGTACTTAGGTTAAAGTTGTGAAATTGTTATCACTTGGTCGTGCGACGTCGTACTGACGGTGATACTATCTTTGCTATTTATATCACAGATTCAAAACCTTTCTATAGCCTGAGCATGAATTCGCACAACTGTTGACTATTATAAATTCTCCAAATATCCCAGCAGGAAACTGGTACGAGTTTTTCATACTAGTCACCTCCTCCATATCTTCCCTTTTATCTCTTTCCAAGAGTTAACTTTTATTCATTCTTTGGATATAGGAGAGGTATTGGAAAATGGAACACCGGCAAAGTGCTATAAGCCATTGCCAGATTAGCTAGTGCCCTAATTACGCCCTTACCGGAAACCAAGAGAATTATTGTCTTGAAATCTCGTCTTGATGACTGCTGAACCTTAGGCAGACCTGACATTTCGATCCATTTGTGCTGAACCCGTGTGTTTCGCCGTGACAGTCGTTAGTGTATGAAACAATTCTTCACCTAATTCACCCAAAATCCTAAATAAAACTACTGGCCAGCCATAATACCATCTATTCAACCTAATTTAGCGAACCTATCAAAGTAACTCGTGTTTTAGTTAGCTACTTCCGGACCTTTGCTTCCCATATTCGGTTTGAGTAGTTTCCCAAACCACCAGTAAGCCTTGAATAAGGGCTGCATTTACCTTAGGTCGCATAAAGTGATAAAGGTACTGACACTTTTGTTTTCGCACGTTTCCATTGAAACTAACATAGCCCTGCTTCCCAAGAGATATTCTCATCTAGACTGGACTGGAGACTGACTGCAGTTTCATCCTTTCCCTCTTATTAGCAACCCAAGTCCTTCGTCACCTTATGCTCTTATTCAAGATCTACTGGTAGTTTCAAATAACTACATTTCTCGAAAGCTAATCAAACAGCCGGCTTTGCTCTAAATAATTGCTTGTTCGCATTCTACTCATCTGTATTGATAAGTTATTGTCAACAAGTCCTGTGGGATAGTAATTTTGAGTTGAAATATTCGTTAAACGTACTATTTGCTGGCCACGGAGATGTAAGTTGGCTAAAATCGAATTGATAACCCGTATTTAGATACCTTATACAGGTTTAGAAGAGAGATTACTGTTGGGACGGCGTTATCCTGCTCTAATGCAACCGTTTGGATTTTAGACGCAGTCCACAACACCTCCCTAGTTTCGGGTGAAAACGAAGTACATCATCAGAGCTTGAAATCATTTTAGCAAAATTATCAAGTTATGACTAAGACAAGAATACTATCCCGCTCTATGTTACCTCTTATATAGTCTCATTTAGGTACAGGAGAAGCTAAAAGCATAGACCGATATAGAATGGTTTTGGTAATTATTTTTATTCTGGTCACTTTCTCTTGGATGGCGGTCCAGCACCTCTCTCTTTCAATCTATCATTCAAATATAAGTAGTCCCTACTCTAGTTTCTATGACCGTTACTCACATTCAACGTATTTCCTAAGCTATTAATTTCAATAGCCTCTTATCTTTCTTTTAAGCACAGACGTACAATAATCAGTAAACATTATAGTCCAGTTTCTACCATGTGCTCGGCCACTTCTGGCCGTTGGACACAGCTTCCTTTACAAGCATTTTTGTGTTCTACAAATCTTTGTCGAATAGGTCGGCACGTCTTATTAACATGAGCAAACAATCTTGATGCAGCAGGATCTCGAGAATGTTTCATATTTCTCTCAAAAAGATGGCATAACATAAGAAAGTGTGAGGGTTTCTTTGAACGCTGTTCTTATCCCTCATTTTCCTACTAATTCGCCAAACTTTTTTAAAAACAAACATGACGGCAAAATTTGGACATGGGAAAAGGTCTCAGTCTGTCTTTGACTAAATCGTCTCCGTCTGAAAATGTATTCCTCAATAGAGACAGATTATTCTCAATAAGCTCTAAAGGATAATTGTTTTCCAGGAATAAATTTGTCAGCCGTTCCAACTCTTTAGTTATATGTTTGCTATATACAGATTAACGGCTTTCGAAGAATCTCCTAAGATAACATTGTTGGGGAAGAGTTTCCTATCGTTTGCACGTATCTAGAAGTATGGTGAACAGCTTCCGTGGCCTAATTCACGAGAACCCGATGGACGATTTGCGTTGTTCTGCGGCCATTTGGCTCAAATACAAAGTTCAGGTTTACGCAGTCCAGGAAACATGATCCCTCGTTTTAGGCGAAAAATGGCTGAGCATTGGTCGACCATATGATGGACACCATCAGGGTTATCCGTAATTATTGTAAAATTCTCAAGTTAACAAGTACTTAGTCAATAATACGAGATGTATTCACCCTACTTTATTTAAGGTAGGTCTCGAAAACCTGCTTGTTAAACGAAAAAAGTCTATCTGGCTGTATCAAATCTCTTTTAAAGAATCAACTAAAGTCCAAAATGTTTAGACATAATCATCTACTTCAAAATATTAACCTTAGTTGCATAACTATGGTTAGAAAGAAAATTCAGTAAAGAGCCAGCATATGTTGACTTGCTTTAAACATATTTCCCCAACTTACCATCTGCTCTAATAACCAGAGCATCCAAAAAAGCTAGGAACCTATCCTCTTCTACTTCCGTTATGCGCCAAATGCTCCTTTTACGCTGATCAAGAGAAATTAGGAAACTATCAAAACTTTCCTTAGAATTAGGCCAAATGACAAAATATTAATCCATCTATTCAAGCTAACAATTTGGAGATCAGTATTGTCTCCTCGAAAAAGCGTTCCTCAAGTTTTGCCATATATTTGTTCGCCAAGACAGGAGCTAAGCAAGATCTAATCGCAACTCCTTGTGTCTGTTCATATATGCACCTCCAGAGCCTGAATAGCTGCTTGAACAGGAATGTTCGTGTGCATAGATGCAAAATTAGAACCTATTTGCCTATCTTCTTCTGAATTTATTTGCTTATCAACTAATTTTACAAACTCCTATGATTTTTTAACCAAATATGACCAAAATTCTACATTTTTCCTTCGTTGTATGCACACAAGTCGTGGGATTCAATATACCACACTTCCTTTATTATTTACAATTAATCTAAGTGGGGCACCTGCATTATGAACCTTTGGGAGACTATAAACCGTGGGGAGCATTCTGGAGTAGTGAATTCATTTTCCATTTCTCCATTTCCCCATTGCTTACGCATACCTTTATGCCATTCCTTAGCTTAGTCTTAAGTCATTCTGTTAGATTGTCCATTAAAAGCCTATTTGTGGCAGTATCCTTTAAGTGAACTAGAA